TAATCGATGGGCAGGCCCCTATTGGGCAACCTCTGATCAGATGGTAAGTTATATATCGAGCCTGCTGTGGCCGAGCGCCTATGAGCAAGCCCAGTTGGTCGAGATATAGAGCCTAGTATGGCCGAGATACAGAGCCTAGTATGGCCGAGCGCCTATGAGCGAGCCTACTACGGCAGAGCAGTTATATATATGCATACCGAGCCTTATAGGGCCGGACAACTACTTTACTTACTATATTGAGAAACTTGAGTCAGTATCAACAGGTAAGCATATCTTCATATTATCTTTGACTTCCAGTTGCATGCAGTTATTATATTATCAGTTCAGTTTTAGCTTTCAGTATTTGCCTTACATACTCTGTACATTATTTCGTACTGGCGTCCCTTTTCTGGGGGCGCTGTATTTCATGCGTGCAGGTTAAGACAGACAAGCGGGTAGACCCCCTCATTAAGTGTTGCCCGAGTTCAACTTGATTGGTAAGCTCCATGCCTTTCGGAGTTGTCGGGTCTAGAGCTTTATGTACATCTTGTGTATATATGTATATATGGTATGAGTAGGTCGGAGGAGCTGTTCCGATCACAGTATATCCACCAGTAGAGGCTTGTAGATATATCCTGTCAGTTAGTGCAATATGTTGGGCTTGTAGGCCATGTATATATATTTGGTTGGTTTGTCAGTTACAATAATTATAACGGCCCTGTCGGCCCAGCTTTATATTGATATTTAGTCAGCATTCGCAGTTGTTTTGCAATGTGGCCGATGGCCAAAGTACGACATTACATGTTCAGAGTCTCTTAGTCGCAAGTGGTACGCAAGGATAAGTGAGGCACCAAGTTCCAGTCTCGCCCCCGGGCTCGGGGCGTGACACGGTTGAAACTTCAGAGAGGTCACATTATGGAATTTTCAAGTCCGTGTCCGCTACCAAATTACGCCCCCGTGAAAAAGCTTCCGCTGACGCGGAATTTTGAGCTCGATCAGCGGTCTAAATGCACACTTAGCCAAATTTTTCCAGTGTTAGTCCTGCACTGCATCAAAAATTCCTACACAAATCTCACAACCAGTTAGTCCAAAACAAATCCTACATGAATAAGAAAATGAAAAAGAAGAAAATGAAAAACACATGGGTTGTCTCCCAAGAAGCGCCTGATTTAATGTCGTGGTACGACGCATGTTACCATCCTCATTTGAAATTGATCAAGGCCACCACATGGTTGTCATCAAATTTTCCCAAATAGTGTTTGACTCGGTGCCCATTAATCTGAAAACTTCACCATTTTTATTCTTCAAATCAAAAACACCAAATGGAGTCACATGTACCACTTCAAAAGGGCCACTCTATTTTTACTTGAGCTTTCCCAGAAACAGTCGTAACCAAGAGTTGAATAAGAGAATCAAGTCACCCTCCTTGAATTCCTTGCTCCGGGCATATTTGTCATGTAAGTACTGTAAGCACGTGATTTTTGCTTCACGAGCAATCACTCCCAAAGGAAAACAAAAGAAAAATAGTAACAAATGGCTTCGTTGTACAATTTTTTTTTCCCTTTTCGTGACATGTGTTATTAGTCGTTTGTAGGTCTGTCCATTTTGCATATAGACATTATCAAACAAAAATACAAAAATGTCTGTCGTTAAAAGAAAATTCAAAAAATATATATGTATATGCGCATCGCTCGTTCTAGACTTTTAGTTCACTTACTTAAATAATTTTGTGATAATTGTGTTAAAATGTTGCATTGTTGTTTAGTTTTAATTTCGTTATNGTACTTCATCTTGTCCTTATACACGGACAAGCTAGAATAAGCATGAAACCTAAACTCATCAAGTTCATTGAGTTTCTCTACTCGGAGATTTGCTGCAACATCCCACTCAAGATTTAACTGCTTCAAATCTCACATGGCCTTATGCTCTCTAACTCAACCGGAAGATGGCACGCTTTCCCAAATACCAACTAGTACGGAGACATACCAGTTGGAGTCTTATAAGAAGTCCTGTAAGTACACAAAGCATCAACAGTTTCCTTGACCAATCAGTCCAATTTGCATTAACAGTTTTTGACAATATGCTATTTATCTCCTTGTTGGAGACCTCAACTTGTCCACTAGCGTGAGGATGATAAGGGTTTGACACCTTGTGATTGACACCATACTTTGCAAGCAAAGTATCAAATGCCCTATTGCAAAAATGAGAACCCACATCATTGATGATCTCCCGATGAGTGTCAAACCGTGTGAAGATATTTTTCTTGAGAAACGCCACCACACTCCGGGCTTCGTTGTAGGTAAAAGCTGATAACTAGGGATTTTGATACATTTTATACTCCTTTATGCTTAAGTTTTGATTAGAAATGTGTACAAAATAGTCCCAAAAGGATCACAAGTTGTGTTTGATTGCAGGTTTGATCAACAAGGTTACAAGATGTCAAAGATCAGCTCAAAAAGGAGTGAAACTTGCACAAGTATCAGGACAAGACAAAGCTCAGGCAAAACAGGGCCAGTGCGGCCGCACACCATTCTGTGCGGTCCGCACAAGTAAGGTTCAGAGAGGCTGCTATTCAGGCACAAAGGCAATACGGCCGCACGAGGTTTTGTGCGGTCCGCACTGGATGCAATGCGGCCGCACTCGATTTTGTGTGGTCCGCAGAGCCAAGTTTAAGAGAGTTACTAGTTTCAAGTTTGAAGCCCAATGTGGTCCGCCCTCCATTTCATGCGGACCGCACTAGAAGCCACCGCGGCCGCACTCGATTCTGTGTGGTCCGCATTTCCAAGTTCAGAGAGCCGGTTATTCAAGTTTAGAGCCCTAGTGCGGCCGCACGTGATTTTGTGCGGTCCGCATTAACCCCGCCAGGGTATTTTTGTCCAGATTTTTCAGCTTAGTATAAATAGTTTTTTTCCCATTTTTAGGTCATTAGATAGTTTTGTACACTGGTTGCGCTCGTGACTTCGAGTACTTTAGCTATTTTGAGTAATTTTAGCTTCATTTCAACATTGAATCCTCTAGTTTAATTTCGTAATTAATTAATATGAGTTTTTCTTCATCAATTTCTTAATTTTCTTCTTCAATTATGAGTAGCTAGACCCATAAGCTAGGGTTGTGGCTAAACCCTAGTGTGGATAATTGATGGGCCTTGTGTTTTAGGGTTTGATTGACTATGGGTGTTTGATATTTGGACTAATTTCACATTTAATTGCTGAATTGGTGATTGCAAACACTAGTTTGTGTTTAGTTGACTTTGGCTCTTCTTGAGAAAGAGAGCCTAAGTCT